AAAGTGGAAACCATCTCCCATATCTTACTTTTTCCTTAGGTACAATGTCTAAATTCATATTGATTTTGCTTACATTTGAATAGTTTCAAATTTGTTCATATATGGTTTAAACTTTTTGTCCCTGTTGTCTTACTCAGGCTTGTGTAACTTAAAATGAGCCTGAGTGTGGGTCTACATACAGCAAGACTTGCAATAAAAATACAATTTCAGTGCTACTTATAAAATTCATGCTATTAAGAAGGATGCAGTTTTCAAAGCTGAAAAGATCATGAAATGGCTAATTTACATATCATAGCCTGGATGATTCCTTACTGTTGAGGTGTTATAGTTTCTATGTAGTTATATAGTAAATGCCTTCAAATAGTAACTGGCTAGATCAGTGAAGTTATTTTCCCCTTTGTGATTCCAACTTCATTTTATTTATTTTGAAGATAATTAATATTGTAATTGTAAAAGAAAATTATAGCATTGGAAAATTTTCTCTCTATGTAGAATAGCAATGAACCAAATTTACCAATTAGGGAGCCGTTTTAGGAATTGTTGGACAGTGAATTTTTCTGTAGTAACTATGCTTCAGTTGCAATGCAGTATGCCCAGAAGCAATCTGTTTCTACTTCTGAATGTTTGATTTGGAACACTTTTTTGATGAGTATTCAGTTAAACACTTGGATACGAGCTCTTCGCTTGTATCCATCTCTACCATTTATCTTGGAATGTTTCTGAAGACATTCTCCTTATTTTATTAACTCTATACACTTCTGGTTTTGGATCTCCAATGTGATTATAGACAATATCAACACAGAAGGCTTTGCTTTATACTCTAAGGTTTGGAGCATTTGATCTGACATGCCTTAAATTGGGCTTCCAGTCAAAACTGAAGTAATTTCTCCTTTCAAATCGCAAGTTCTCTTGAATGAGTGGATAGTGGAGTTGCAGAAATTGAAAGGCAGCAGTAGTTTTCACTTTATATTACATCTTCTCCAATACAATCTATTCTATTCTCATTAAGTCTGAAACCGTGAACCTATATTCACTTATTTGGAACACATCAGTTGCCAATGGGACATTCCTTTTCTGTCCTGTGGATTTTTATAATCAAATAGAACAAGCTCAGTCCAACACATCCAAGCTATTTGGGGTGCACCTTGATTTAACACAAGAATCTGTCCAGTAAATTCAGGCAGAGAAAATGTCTTTATGTCAAAGCCAAAGAACTGAGTTAGACTAACATCTTGTACTTCAAAAGCCGGTAGTCTTGCAGTCATTTGAGGCTAATGTCTATCGTGTGCAAACTCAAATGGTCTCAAGACACAGATCTTTAACTGTCATCTAGACTTCTTTTCCAACAGGACATTCAGCTGGTGTAGCAGTTTCTGAGAGTCAGTTGTCAGTACCTCTATCATCTTGATAGTGACTAGGGCTCAGTGGTAAACACCCTTCTTGGACTGGCCCTCACATCACTCCACATAATCCAATCTCAGAGGCCTAGGAAACAAGGGAAAGAGACAGGCCCAAGGAGGGGGAGGCTTCCTGGGTTCAGGTCTCTGAAGAGCTGCCATATTGCCCTTGTCAGGGTCAGCTTGGAGCCGAAGGGCTGAAAAGGCATTTTGATATTTGATTGCATATGATTTCATACTATTATTTCAGAGTTTTGTGTGCACACATTGTTTCTCCAGTAAGTCTAATGCTTTATAAACATAGCAACCACATCTGAAATTTCTATGTCTCTCACACTGTGTGCTTGGACAGCTCTGCCTGGAATATACTTCCCCCAGTTGCCCACATGTCTAATATAGTGATTTGTGTTGTGTCAAAACCTAACAAGTATTTGTTGAATACTTAACATGTGCTGACTTTAGGTTAGTAAATGTCTTCTTCAATAATTGATGATTTTTTGTTATACCTAGAGATTGAACACTTTGAAAGCAACCTTGGAAAAAAAATTTCAATTACTCTGTTTCATTTGTATCCAGAACAAAACTCTGCATGCATGAAAGACTCAGCAAATATCATGGATGAAGCAACAGGCAGATTTCAGGCACACATAAGCAAACTGAATTTTTAAACCTGAAATCAGGACATGGTGGTCTAATTTTGGAGCATTTTATGTATGTACCAAACAGTCTGAGAAATGTACCTTGAATTGAAATATATTAGAATACATGAAGACTAATAGAGACAGTAGGAAAATATGTTTGTCATCAGAACTGTTTCAGGAAACCAAAACCACAAGCTACCTATTCCACCACTTCAGGTGATCCAAAAAGACAGGAGGTAAACGTGTTTCAAGTGGTTCAATGTGTTGTAATTTATATCTATGCATTGCACATATTAATTGAAGCAAAGGTGGGTTAAACTATTGAATGGTTGTTCTTTCTTACAAACACAGTGAAATAATAATTTTCCACATGTGTTATTATATCCTTTTCTGATCTTTTCAAGGATATGTTTTATAAGTGATTGCTATGGTTTTCCTTATATTAATTACACAAATTTGTTTGTAGATTCAATAGCCAAGATTTGATGGCACCAAATTTTTATTCATACATGGTATCACAGCCTTCTTAGCTATTCTTCAATAACCTGGTGTGAACCATTTATCATTTCAGAGTTGTGCAATAGAGGATAAGTATGCCAATATGTTAAATATGATTTTCAAAATTGCATTTTAATTGCTTTACTTGGACAATTATTGGTAACTTTGAAAAAAAAAATAAAGAAATCAGGCATTAACAAATGCTCCAGGATTTCCAAAGTTTCACACTAGCTGGTACTACCCTAGCATATCCTTGTTATCTCTTATTTGAACTATGGCAACAGCTTCCTAATGAGTCCCTTGCATTTAGTCTCTCATTGTTCTAGTACATTCTATATTCAGTGTTCTATTTATCTTTATGAAGAAAATTTTGACTGGGTTGCTTCTGTCTTCAAAGGCTTTAATGGTGTCTATTTGTTACTAAATTTGCAAAGCTCTATATCCTCCCTCCCTCCCTCCCTTTCTCTCTCCCTCCCTCCCTCCCTTCCTTCATTCCTTCCTTCCTTCTTCCCCTCCCTCCTTCCTTCCCTCCTTCCTTCCTTCCTTCTCTCCCTCCCTCCCTCCCTCTCTCCCTCCCTCCCTCCCTTGTTTCCTTCCTTCCCCCTCTCCCTCTCTCTCTGCCTCCCTCCCTCCCTCCTTCCTTCCTTTCTCCCTCCCTCCATTTATTTCTCTCTTTATTTCTGTTTTTATCTCTCTCTCTTTCTTTTTTCTTTCTCTCTTTTTCTCTTTCTTTCTTTGAATCCTTCTGTAAAATCTTCATTTCAGTTATTATAATTTTCAGCTCCAGACTTTTTTTAGGTTTCTATCTTTGTATTGATATTTCTACTTTGTTTTGTTCTCTGATTTTCTCCACATCTTTCTTTATTTTCTTAAGCATCTGTAAAAACCATTGTTTTAAAGTTTATGTTTAGTAGGTCTGTCATGTGGTCTTTTTCAGGGACGATTTTAGTTAGTTTATTTTTCTTTTCCTTTGAGTGAGTCATACTTTCCTGTTTCTTTGTATAATTTGTGATTTTTTTGGTTGATAACTAGACATTTGAATCATCATGTGGTTACTCTGGAGATCAGATACTCTGGGTTTGCTATGATTGTTTTGTTGTTGTTGTTGTAGGATGTTTGTGTTGAGGATCAGCTTGAGATGTAAATTTAAGGTCTTCTTAGGCCTTTTATGAGCATGTGCCTTTCCCTGGTCACGTATGCTGACTTTCTAAATTTCCCTGTATATTTGATTGCTTTTATATGTCTTATTCCTTAAATGTCTCACTACCCAAAAGGAGAAAAAGAAAAAAAAAGGAGAAAATAATAAGGCATTGATTCTTTAAATCTCCTGGAAGCCACTTCAGCGAGAGAGTGGGCTTACAAAAATGGTGTGTGTGTGTGTGTGTGTGTGTGTGTGTGTGTGTGTATACGTGACAATAGCTGCTTGCCTTTGTGCTTGTACCTCCATGATCAGAAGCAGCAATTAGTGATCAGAACATAGATCTTGCATATTTGAAAGACAAGGTCTTACTGCTCCCATAAGCTGCCTGCAAGCTGCTTTAGGGACACAGCCATGACAGCCTGTTATGGGGACAGGGGATGAAGAATTGGTAACCACCCCAAAATGGACTGAAACTAACTGTGAATTATCTTCCAAGCCTTCCCTGGAAGTTGCAAGCACTAGAGCTCCTAAATAGTAATATCAGACAGATTCCATCAGTGCAATTGTTATCTAAGTGGCAGAAAAACTCCCTACTATTCTATCTTCTCAGGATCTCCCTACCTCTGAGCTTTTGTTAACTGATTCAAAAAAATTTTTTTTTTTGAGATAGAGTCTTGCTCTGTTGCCAAGGTTAAAATGCAGTAGAACTCACTGTAGCCTCAAACTCCCAAATTCAAGCAATCTTCCCACCTCAGTCTCCCAAGTATATGAGACTACAGGCACACACCACCATGCCTGGCTATTTTTTTTTCATTTTCATAGAGACAGGGTCTTGCTTTGTTGCCCAGGCTGGTCTCAAACTCCTGAGCTCAAGGAATCCTTCCTCCTTGCACTCCCAAATTGCTGGAATTACAGGCATGAGCAACCACACCCACCCCCAAATATTTTTAATGCCTCTTTCCTGTTAGACATAAGTTTAATAAACATAATATGTAGGTCATTGACCCATGATATCCATAGGATGCTGCAGACACTATAAGATGAACACATAAGTGAAAATATAACCGTAGATTATGATAAATGTTATGAAGAAAAATTACACGGTCTGGAATCTTATCCTAGAGTAGGTTCCTACAACCAATTTTACTCAACATGGGCTTTCTCTGAACTCCTTTCTTGTCTTAATCCTTCTTTTCTAATTATTGTTATTTAGAATTTATTTTTCCATATATCAAATAATAGGTTTAGGCAACTATCATTCAAGATTTTGTTAAAAGCTAAGATTGATTTACAAAGATTTTTTTCCTCCAATAAACATACCAGATTTGGCCACACCCCAGTTCAAGAAAGACTCAGTTGCCTGGCCAAGAACAACTCTATCTACGTTGTCGCAAATATTGGGGACAAGAAGCCATGCAATGCCAGTGACCCTCAGTGTCCTCATGATGGCCGTTACCAATACAACACTGATGTGGCATTTGATTCTCAGGGAAAACTGGTGGCACGCTACCATAAGGTAAAATTAACTTGCAAATAATCTGATAAGTGAATGCCTAATGAAATAAAGTGGGCAAGGAGAAAAGTATGTTATTGATACTGATAAGCATACTTTAGAAATCGAGTGGAGGTAAAGCATAGAAAGTAATGATAAAATGTGGAAAGCTCCTTTAAAAAGGCTCAAGGGCCTACGTGTACATATAAGAACACAAGAGTGTGTTTTTGGGAGTGTGTGGGAGTCAGAAAGTGCTACCTGCATTATGCTGGATAATGTTGCTTATTGGACTTTGTCTTTTAAAGACATACCCTGGCAATGGGTCAAGGTGAGAATGAAAAACTTCTTACCACATAGACTCTGTCTTGAGAAGAATGGAGCAAACAAAATTCCTTGCCAAGGAAATCAGTGTACTTGACAAACAGAAATGATCTATTTTACTCCCATGTCTTATCAGATTCAAGAGGGTCTTTATAGTTAAAGATACCCATGTATACATCTGTAATGTGGAGACTGAATCAAAGGCCTGATTTAGCTGAAATGGCCTCTGATTCTCTAAAGCAAACTCTTTTCCCGTGGAAACAGTGGTTATAGATGACATTGGCACTGTCTAAGATGTGAGCTTGCAGTTTTTCTGACCCTGTGATGTCCAGATCAGCTTCCTAAAAGACATTTTTTTCTCTTTATCTTCTGTTTATTGCAGCAAAACCTTTTCATGGGTGAAGAGCAATTTGATGTACCCAAGGAGCCTGAGGTTGTGACTTTCAATACCACCTTTGGAAGTTTTGGCATTTTCACATGCTTTGATATACTCTTCCACGATCCTGCTGTTACCTTGGTGAAAGATTTCCACGTAGACACCATGCTCTTCCCAACAGCTTGGATGAATGTTCTGCCACATTTGTCAGCTGTTGAATTCCACTCAGCTTGGGCTATGGGCATGAGGGTCAATTTCCTTGCATCCAACATACATTACCCCTCAATGAAAATGACAGGTAATGTGTGATCTTAAAGATATACAGGCTGATGTAATCAGAAAAGAAAAGAAAAAAACATGTCTTTCTAGCTAACACATTCTCCTTAATACAATGTTTTCCAACTCTTAATTTTTGAACATCTAGCCACTAATATGCTATAGAATCAATCTCAGTCTAAATTGTTTTATAGGTTTATTTGGTTTTATTTAACTTGATGTATTTTTTTTTTAAATATGTGACTTCTTACATCAACTGTCTCTTGGCTTCTTGGTGTCATATTTTATTTTTTTAATTAAAAAAATTTTTGAAGGAAAATTATTTTAATTATTTTAATAAATTAATTCAATAATTTTAATAATTTAATAATTTAAATAATTAAATTGATTTAATTAATTTAATGATTATTTTAATTAGTTTTATGTACAGACAACTTAACAGTGTACATTTAACCCAGTTTACTGGCAAGTTCTTTAGCCTCCGCCTTTTCGAGTTTGACAATGCGAGCCACAGACTTGGGACCCAGAACATTGCTTCCTCAGTGGCGGCAGATCTCATTGTATCTGTCATTGTAATTGATCCTGATAGCCTCCACCAGCTTAGCCAAAGTGCCTTTGTCTTACGAGTTAACCTGTGTGAAGGCGACAGTGGTGCAGGGCTCTCTGTGGACTAGACAGCCCAGCCTTGCCTTCCCCTTGATAATGCAATAAGGGATCCCCATTTTATGACACGAGGCAGGCAAGAATACAACCAGCTCAATGAGATACATGTCGTGTGCAATCACCACCAGCTGAGCTTTCTTGTTCTCCACCAAGGTGGTGAGAGTGTTAACTCATGCTCGAAGGACAGGTGGTCTCTTAGTGGGGACGTCCCCTTTGCCAGCAGCTTTCTTCTCAGCTCAGGCCAACAGCCTCTGCTTTTTCTCTTGCTTTGTCTCTGGTCTATACTTGTGGGTCAGCTTAAGCAGCTAAGTAGCTGTTGGCGGTCCAGGGCCTGGATGAACTGGTTAATCGCAGGAGGCACTTTCAGTCGCTTATGGAGAATGGCTCTCTGCTGCTGCAACCTGATATAATGGGGCCATTTCACAAAGCGGGTGAGGTCTCTTTGGGGCTGCATGTCCTGTCCAATGACAAAATTCTTAGACCTTTTCTCAAACAGGGAATTCACCACTTTCTTGGTCTCCTGCTTCTTCACAACAGCAGGGGCCGGAGGCACCTTCTTCCCCTTGGCCTTCTTTCCTTTCAGCATCTTGGGCGGTAGGAGGAGAGAGCTGGTGTCATACTTTAATTGATTTCCTCTCATTTCTCTCTATCAGCATGTTTTACTGAAATTAATAAAACATATAACTTGGAGTAAATTGTAAATATGAGCTTAAAATAGTAATAACAATTATGAAATCCTTTTTTACTTTCTTATTTCAAATGATATTTTCAACTTATCATTTCCAGGAAGTGGCATCTATGCACCCAATTCTCCAAGAGCATTTCATTATGATATGAAGACACAAGAGGGAAAACTCCTCCTCTCGCAGCTGGATTCCCACCCATCCCATTCTGTATCGGTGAATTGGACGTCTTATGCCAGCAGTATAGAAGCGCTCTCAACAGGAAACCAGGAATTTAAGGGCGTTGTCTTTTTCGATGAATTCACCTTCGTGGAGCTCACAGGAGTCACAGGAAATTACACAGTTTGTCAGAAAGATCTCTGCTGTCATCTAAGCTACAAGATGTCCGAGAAGAGATCAGATGAAATGTATGCCCTAGGGGCATTTGATGGACTGCACACAGTGGAAGGGCGCTATTATCTACAGGTAATATTTTGATGCCAGGAAGAATTACTGGATAAAAGAAAGACACTCAGTTAAGTGAACATTTCAGATAAATAATGAATGATTTTTTAGTATAAGCATATCCCGCTTTTGCGGATTTATGTATGCTAAAAATTTTGCTGTTTACTTGAAATTCAACTTTAGCTGGGAAGCCTGTAAATACAGGCTAAATTTATTTGCTAACTTTTTGTTTTTTGAGATGGCGTCTCACTCTGTAGCCCAAGCTGGAGTGCAGTAGTGCTTCAGCTCACTGCAAGCTCCACCACCCCATCAAGCGATTCTCATGTCTCAGCCTCCCAAGTAGCTGGGACTATAGGCAGGCACCACCATGCCTGGCTAATTTTTTTTTTTTTTTTTTTTTTTTTTTAGTAGAGATGGGGTTTCACCATGTTGCCCAGAGTGGTCTCAAACTCCCTGAGCTCAGGTAATCCGCCCACCTCAGCCTCCCAAAGTGCTGGGATTAGAGGTGTGAGCCACCGCACCCAGCCTATTTGCTAAATCTTGAAGTCTTAGATGTCAGTTCAATTTTAAGATGGTTAGGAAAAGGCAGAACATTTACTTGCATTAGCAGTATTAAAAATACTCAAATTACAGATAATTATATCAGGAGTCCGTTGAAAACCTATTTTATTTCCTACCTGAACAAATTAAGCCATTTTCCCTATATGTTCACAAATGCCTATCTTGCTTTATAAAGAGTTTGACACTAAATATATCCTGGAGGTGAATGGAGCTGACCACTGAGATTGTTCAGTGGAATGGTTTATTGCTGCAAAGATACGATCTCTCACTGCTCTCAAGTGGCCTCCAGGGTCCTCTCATTCTGCTCTTCTCTTCCTTAGTCTGGCCCCCATCTTATCTCACTTACCAGGGCTTCCTGTTGACAGTCTGACCGTCTCAGCACCATCCAGTCAGTTCTCTACACCAGATGTCCCCAAACTACGGCCCGCGGTCCTCATGCGGCCCCCTGAGGCCATTTATCCAGCCCCCGCCGCACTTCAGGAAGGGGTACCTCTTTCATTGGTGGTCAGTGAGAGGAGCATAGTATGTGGCGGCCCTCCAATGGTCTGAGGGACAGTGAACTGGTCCCCTGTGTAAAAAGTTTGGGGACGCCTGCTCTACATTGTAGTTACAGAAATCACAAAAAGCTGGTTTTGATTATATCACTGTCTGGCTGAAAATTCCTCACTGACTTCTAATTGACAAATCACATTTCTTAACATGAAAGACACACAAAGTCTAGATGTGTGGTCCCTTCCTATTCTTTACCCTGGAATCTCACTTCTACTCACATATATCCTGGGCTTCCACAATATTGAGATATTTTCCCATCTCCTATTTGCTGGCACCTGCGGAACCTCGGGGTGTTTGCACAGATTGTTTGGTCCATGGCCATCCCCAACGACTCATCTTTCATAGCACTTTTCAGGTGTTATCTTCACTAAGGAGGCTGCCTGGACATTTCCCACAGAGCTACTCCTACCTCCCCAGCTGAGTTAAGTACCTCCTTTATGTGCTCCCAGAACACCTTATGCTTAGCTTTAGCAAAGACATATTACGTCATAGTATTCACATACTTATTTGAGATTGAGAACCCCTCGAGTGCTGAAATTATGCCAGTTGCACAGTATTTTGCTTGCTCTCTATCAACCCTTGTTCATTTTAGCAAATGAAGGCGTACTCTACGCCAGGTATTTACTTAGTGTTAATGATATGAAAATATATAAGAATAGATCCTCCTCTTGAGGACTTTAGTAGTGGAGAAAGACATTTGAACAGATAATTTCAGCATAGATTGGCATGTGATAGTCTGTAGAATGCACATTTTGGTGCAGGAGTACTAAAGAGTTCAACTTAGCTTGATTTGGGAATCCAGGGAAGTTTCTGGAGCCGATGACATTGCCCAGGTGAAAAAGAGTGGGAGGGGATTCTTTGTGGTGTGAAGAGCATGAACAAGGGTGTGGATGCAGAGAGGAGCAGGGTCTGCAGAGAAGAGCCACAGGTCAGTGCTACTAAGGCATAGCTTGAGAAGCCAGGGTTGGTGGGAGATAAGCCTGGAAGCAGCATCATGTCCTGTAGGATCTTACTTAGCATACTTAAGAGTCAGCCTTTAATCTGCAGGTGATGGTCAGCTGGTGAAGTTGTCCAGTGAGGGAATGATGCGATCAGATCTGCCTTTGAGTATATCGTTATTACTACTCTGTAGATGATGGAGCAAAGACCTAAAACACTAGGTCATTAAAATAATCTTATTAAGGGCCTGGACCAAGGTCATGTTTGTCGGAATAGAAGCAGGGTCTTGAGTCCAGAAACATTTAGAAAATGGAACTCAGTGGCTAATTTGATGTGGAACAGGAAAGCAGAATGAAAAGTCTAGAATGTGGCAGGTTTCTGTAAGAATGGCTGGTGGGTGAGATGCCTCTGACAGATCAGCAGGCAAGAGAGGAGCAGGCTGGCTAAGAGTGGGAAGAGGCTGAGTTCAGTTACAGACGTGCTGGTTTTGAAGTAGTTATGAAACATTCAGCTGGATCCAGCCAGTTGGCTGTTGAACACTTTGATGCTTAAGGGGGATACTAGAATTAGAAATATTGTCTTGAGAATCAGCAAGATACAAGGGGCAATTAAGCACAAGGGAGTGAATGACAAGGTAGAACCTTTTGGAGCTTCTGTATTTGGGTCAGGAGAGGACAGAGGAAAAGAAACCTGCAAATACAATTGAGAAATGCAAGAGAATTTAAAACGAGAACATCCGGTAGATGTCAAGGAAGTAAAGACTCGGAGAAAAATTCTCTTAAATGAGGTGTATTAACGCAATACGTTGATAATTATTAGCATTATTGAGTATGATTTTGGCAGCATTTCCTGAGCTCATAATGGTAGGATAATGGGCAGATTATATTGGGTTGAAAAGTCAAAGGGAAGTGAGGATATTGAGAAAGTGATGCATTTTTCCCCAAAAAATCTTATCTGAGACAAGTAGAAGAGAAAGAAGACGAGGGCTTAACAGAGACTCATGGTCAGGAGAAATGTGTGTGTGTGTGTGTGTGTGTGTGTGTGTTTCTCAACAAATGAGAGAGCCTTAATTGTCTTTGTAGGTCTAAGAGAAAGGGCCACAGGAGAAAAAACATATAAAATATAGGAGGAATCAGGCCTGGTGCAGTGGCCTGTAATACTAGCACTTTGGGAGGTCTGGGTGAGCGGGTCATCTGAGGTCAGGAGTTTGAGATCAGCCTATCCAACACGATGAAACCCTGTCTCTACTAAAAATACAAAAATTAGCCAGGTGTGGTGGCGGGCGCTTGCATTCCCAGTTACTCGGGAGGCTGAGGCAGGAGAAGTGCTTTAACCTAGGAGATGGAGGTTGCAGTGAGCCGAAATTGTGCCACTGCACTCCAGCCTAGGTGACAGAGTGAGACTCTGTCTCTAAGTAAAATAAAAGAAAATAAAATATACGAGGAATCAATACTGCTACTCAGTGTTCCGAAGTGCTGGGGGAAAGGGAGAAAAATAGTATCATGAACACAGGTACAAAATTTCCAACAACTAGAAATTATATTGTAGAAGAACATTTATTGCCATAAAATTATTACCATATACTATATGGTACATGAATATATATTGCCTTATATATGTGACATATATATGGTATTATATTACTATACAAATTTTTGAAATTAAAATATAAATTGTGATGTATTATTTTTAAGTTAAAAAAAGTTGGTCACATAACAGAAAAGTAATCTCTTAGCCCTTCTTTCCTCCTTTTCCTTCCTTCCTCCTCAATCTTCTACTTTTTGCCTTCCTTTAGAGTCTTGGCTGTACCTAAAGAGAGTTGTGGGAAGTCCTTTCTTAGTGTTTGAGGTAAATTAGCTTTGTCAAGTAAAACCAGCCTTCCTGTTTATCCTGCTAGACAGTGATATCCCATCTAAATGACTGGTATCAGAGATGTTTTGGAATCTTTATACTTAAAAATAGTAATATATCTTACTTGTTATTACCAGCAGAGCCTGGGACAACCCAGAATCAAGCATATTAATATATCTGTAGGAAAACATGGGACAATTCACCTTAAATAGCTTGAATAAAAATGTTATAGGCTTATGTTGATTTAAGTGATGTTTTAATGCCAATGTGCTAGTGGATTACAAAAATTCTTTATTTTCGGCTGGGCATGATGGCTCACGCCTGTAATCCAAGCACTTTGGGAGGCCGAGGTGGGCATATCATGAGGTCAAGAGATCAAGCCCATTCTGGCCAGCGTGGTATAACCCTGTCTCTACTAAAAATATAAAAATTAGCCGGGCATGGTGGTGCACACCTGTAGTGCCAGCTACTCAGGAGGCTGAGGCAGGAGAATCGCTTTAACTCAGGGGGCAGAGGTTGCAGTAAGCTGAGATTATGCCATTGCACTCCAGCCTGGACAACAGAGCTAGACTCCATGTCAAAAAAAAAAAAAAAAAAAAAAAAAAAAAAAAACAACTTCTATTTTCAGAGGGTTTTGGATTTTGGTATTGAGGATGAGGAATTTTGGTATTATATTTATAGTTTTTCATAGTTTAACTGTGATGACATATTATGCTTGAAAAATCTCAGTTATCACCATAAGCTACCTCCAAACCAAGAGAAGAAAAAGAGAGGTAAAAGTGAAATAAATCCCCATCTTGCCACACAGATTTTCCAAGTATTCTATAGTGAACGTGCATAATTTTGCAAGACTTCTAAGGAAGTGAGGAAAGAAGTAAGTTGTGGCATTTTGTAGGGTAGGGGTGGTAAAATGTTGGGTAAAACAGCTTGAAGAGGGGCTTGAAGAAAGTAGATTTGGAGCAGTTGTCAAAGGAGATGGGGAGACGGAGCAACCTAACAATTTTAAAGCATCATTCTGTAAGTCATTGAGTAAAGGGATAGTTAAATGAAAGAAGTTTATTCTCTTTACACAATGCTCTTAGCAAGTCATCTCCTTAGATTACTATCTGCAGGCTTTT